TTATATTTTTACTATAGCATATATTTATCCTATATGAAAATATTATAACTCAAACATATATATAAAGGCTCCAATTTTGCCTAGGAATTGGTAGGCTTGAACATATATTTTATCGAATAAATATTTTGACCTTTACAAAACAAATCACCATTGCCTCTTTCGCCTGACTTCATACACCTCAGAACTGTACCAATTTGTACATCTCTAGGAACTTTAGCATACCACATTGGCCCTGTCCATCTAAAGTGCCTCCCTGCTACTAGTTTTTCGTCTTTATCTTTTTCCTGAGATAGAAACGATATATGACAATATATATATATATAGTTTATATATAGATTTATCAATTTTTTTATATACAAAAATTTTAAATATTCAAATTTAATTTTTATCCAATTAGATTGTATAAAAATAAAATCATTGGTTTTTTTAATAATTATAAACTGAATTAAATTAAAAAGAAAAATTATATAAGAAAAATTTCCAATTTAACTTAATATATATTTATCAAAAATTTTTTTCTGTTATTTAAATACTTATTAAGGCTAAACAATTCTGAAGATAATTATCAATATAGATACTAATATTAAAGTAAACTTGTAATTAAACAGGAATTGTGTTCTGCTTAATATTTATATTTTTATATTTAACAACCTATATCAATCAAAAATTTTTGAAATATACAGTATATTAAAAGATTTAAAGATTATATTTTAATTCCATATTTGATAATTTGTATCAATAAAAGGATTTTTTTGAAACATTTACTAAAAAGTGTTAGTAAGATTATAGGTATTATAACTGTGTGAACCAAAGATTTGAAATGGTAAAGAATTTAGATAAAACTTAACTAGTATATTATCATTCCTGCCCCATATTAGAAATTAGGATTAGATAGTTTAAAACTGGTGACAGGATTTCTATATCCTTAACTCTTACCAGTATATGGACCCACCCTCTGAATATAAGTTGATATATCTGGTTAAAGATTAATATAAACATGTAAATGCAATGTTTAAATAAAGTCTTGCATTTAATGCCTATAAAAAAAACAATAAGCTATATTGTATAAAGTTTAAATTAAAAAAACCAATATAAAGACAATATATAAAATTGTTATAATGGTTTTTTTAAATATGATAATATATCCCGTGGTATTAAAAAAACCAATATAAAGACAATATATAAAATTGTTATAATGGTTTTTTTAAATATGATAATATATCCCGTGGTATTAAATAAGTTTACAAATAATTACTTGATTCATAAAAATAATATGTAGTCTCATTCTATGATTATCAATAAATAATACTGTATTTTGTTATCGAACTATAGGCTGACATCAAATATCAAACTTCATCCATAACTTCACCCTTCCTAATCTCAACATTCTCTTCACCTTTCAACTTTATCGCACGATACAAAAATTCTAAGTCCACCACATAATCTCTCAACAATAGATTAATGTCATCTAAATCCATATTTTGTACTGTAGAAGGCATAATGGGTTGATAAGTACCATCGTTTACACCTTTACGCGCGCCATTAAATTGTCTCTGTAGCTTTTTGCTTGCTATCGTTGAGAAACAACACCCAACTACAAATGAATATATTTTACATTACTAGGGTGTTATTAATGTTTTCTACCCATGAGGCGGATTGGCAGATTGAACACTTACACTTTTGAATAAATCCCCAAGGAGACAATTTTGCGTCGCCTAATTTTTAATGATTAAAAATAATGATTAGAAAAATCGAAGGAAATATATGAGCAGAAGTCAAGTACAGTAGTATATCTGACCAAACAAGAAGCTGTATATGGAAGTGACAAGGCCGATGGCACCACCCATCAATCCCAGTAAGGTTAACGCCTAAAATCGATCCCAGAAATGAAGTTTAATAGTTCTTTGACCTATTGGAGCATTGTATAAAGTGAATTTCTTACCGTTTTATCTCTAAAATCAAATATGAAAAAAAGTAGCAGCAATCAATAACAATTAAAGTCATCAGGTGCTAGAAAACTGATAATAACAGATCCTACTTTAATTCCTCTTCCACATTTATTACAAACGATTGCGCTTTTATATGAATAGTAGAATACAGAGTTTGATCGCTTTCACCGACATCTGCAACGGAATCTGTCGATAATAATAATAATACTAATAGTTAGTACTCAGAATATAATAAGGTTTATCTTTTCATTGATTACTTACGAAATACTGTTCTTATATATGGATCTTCCTTATCTTTAAATGAGGTAATAATAAGTGAGTTATAAAAAATATTTAAGAGTTCCCAAGAAATCTGATGAGAATCTTACAGGAAGGAGGAACTCCAAGGTAATTCAACCAGGAAGGTATCATCAATCTTTGAATAAACCGAGAGATCGTAATATAATGAATCTAAAATTAATGTAAGTCAATATCCACATTTGTCTTCACACAAAACTTTTAAAATCGTAAGGACTTCTTAACTCACACGATTATAACTGATTGTATAAACATTCAGAGCATCAAGAGAGTCAGCAAATTTTTTATCGAAACCTATTCTTTGAGGGGCATTTCCTTGTTGTTTTTCAGCCTCGCTAATAAAATGAATGGGAGTCAAGTCTGCGTATCACGTGGGAATAAGAGAAAATGGGTTATATTGTTTAATAATAGTAAGCAGAAACAAGTCGGAAATATAATTACTTTGGTCATAAAGAACTACAGTTAAATCCCGAATAGTACCATTATTAGTCCTATTGGAAGTTGTGATTCTAATTACCGCCTCAGAGTCATAAGAAACAAAATTTAATGACGAATTCGGAAAGAAATATCCAGACGTAGAATTAACATCTTCCACAACCCATGAGAATGTCTCTGAACAATAATCTTTTGGGAGGTCGCCGATGGATAATGCTAAATATTCGAAGTATGGAAGTTAACAATGTTCATGAATACAGTTTTTATAGATCATATTTACCAGTCATATTACATTCCATGTCATAAATAAATGGTCCGACAACCTTTAATGCTAAGAGGATGAAAGGTGTCAAAATTGACTTAGCTTTTTCAGAAAAAGATTTTAATTTAAGATCATTTACATGGTACTGGAATAGAGGAACTATCAAATGATCGTGAGCGCAATGTTGGACGCTCATCTTTGATTTCCATAACGCCATTGACGAAATATGCAATCAAAAGTCCACTCAGGATAAGCAGGACTAGAATTCTAGCTATAAATATAGCGGCGGGCTCTGTTCTCTTTTTTTCCAGAGCAAGACCTGACATTATGCTAAACTTTTTAATGATTAAATTCAAGCAGCCAAGAAGCTTTTATAATGAACCGAATTCTTGATTTGTATTAATTACGCCGAATGCCAAGAAATATTTAAAAGTTTTACGTAAAACATTACACGTAGTCATATTTACTAAATTCACTTTTTATAACAGTGCAAATACCGTTTATTGTACAAATAAAAAAAGATAACAACGCACTCGTTTGTTCCACCTATTCAATCCGTACCATATTAACAATTTCCTTTTTTTTATAAACCATAATTGAACAAGTTTAACCATTAATGGATAAGAGCAGATCTAAAAACAATACCCATAACACAAAAAATCATTATATGCCTGCAAATTCGATTGATTCCAATAATACAATGATATTAACAAAGATCGATATGCAGTATATTGTTGTGTAAAATAAAAATTATTTTTTACTTGATTATTGCCCGAAGCAAAGCGAAGAACATTCTATGTTTACTATTCTTGGTGAAAATATAGGTCACGTGTGGATTCTGTTCGTGCGCATGCATAACACATGATTTTTATTTGTTTATCACAATAAATGAACAGTAACAATAACAATAAATTGACCAATAAAAAAGATGTTTTTTAAATTTTGTATCCTTTTATAAATCCTTAATGTGCTAAAGCTTTTCAAAGTTAAACAAGTTAAAAATGATATCTTTAAAAGAATAGACCCAAGATACTGCTATAAAAAAGAAACCTGTGGCAAACTTTTTATTATTAAGATTTACAATAATTCTTTATAATATAAGCCTCTGATTTTTATATATTGTAATAATTTATACAAGATATATCAGAATTTGTAAACATAAGTATGGTATTCTAAAATTATTTTTTTTAAATATATTAAATTAATATATTGAAATAATTTTTATATTTTTTAAAATAATAATAATAAGATCTATATAATTTTTAAAAGTTATAAAAATTATAATAGAAAAAAATTATTGTTTTAATTTTCAAGCAAAATATTTTAAACAATTTTTATTTAAATTATTATCCAATTTGATTTTTGTTTATATATTTTTGTTAATATATAATAGTATTTAAAATTTTTTAAATTTTTTTTCAATATATATATTTCAATAAAAACTTATTTAAATTAAATATAAATTTAAATATAAATACATAAATATTATAAAATTACTTTTACATATAACTAGTTTACTACTTATATTATTATTATTATTATTATTTATTTATTTTTAATTAAAATTTTATGTTATATATTAATTTTATAACTTGATTTTTATAAAATTCAAGTTTTTATATAAAAATAATGTTTTTTGAAATATAACATTAAATATATATATAATATTTAAATAATATTACTAATTTATATAAAATTAATTTAATTAAAATTTTTTAAAAAAAAATTAAAATTTATTCATTATTTATTAATACTAAAAGATTTATATTTAATTTTTTTTTTTTTTTAATCCCGCAATCAGGTTGATGTCGTTTATTTATTTAATCATAAAAAACCATTACAAGTTGAGAATCCATGTAAAGTATAAATTTCCCGACCCAACTCACCTGTTTTTAGCCGAAGCCTTTAGATGTGATTTATGGGGGTGATAATGTTGTTCCCCTAGTGGATGGAATTAAGATTCCAGATTTCCAGCAGGATTAAAACCTGCAGATCACCTCTGCAGTCACGACCATAAACCCAAATTGTGTCACCCCCTCTTGTAGTAACTACGCAAGG